TGCGTTTATTACAGGTCAAACAACTACCTTTGTTGGTATACATAAAGGATGTACACCGAAGTATTAACCATGCACTCGCGGAATTCTTATCACATCTTTGAACCACTTCTATAGAGCTGAATTGCTTGAAAGCGTCTTGTTCAAAATTAAAAAATGAAACCTTGCGAGGGAAAGAAGAAACAAAATAGCGAAAAGAAAAACTAACCATGTTGCAGAAGTTGGTTTGTTCTTCGTTTCAGTTTAGGCCAAGTTCTGTTTGTCAAGCCTTGTATGGATAAAGAATCTTCTTGAACTGGTAATCCATCAAGGTCACCACTCTGCACCATGTTGAACAGATTGTAAACACTGTCTCTAGCTTTTGATCGGTCGTTAAACGACAGCTCAAAATCTGCTGCAAGGTTTCCTCGTATCGTGGACTTCTTGTTTGCTTCATGTTCCCTAGATGTGTTAAAAAAAAAAGTCAAAGAATTTCTCCAACACACTTAAAACAACGGGAAACAAAACGTCTACGTTTGGCGACAGAGAAAGTTACTAAGCTTTGTTACAGAAAATAAAATCGAACTCAGGAAAAACAACTGACTCACCTTAACTGAGTCACTCTGATGTTTTCAAAGTTAGAATCATTTTTGAAAGCTTCTCTTATCTTGATAAGGAAGAAAAAAGCGTTAAAAGTCGTCGTTGTCGCAACCAACAAAAGTGCCCTTCCATAGTTCAAAAGGCAAAGTTGAAATCTTTGAGCGTTAGCCGTATTGCAAAACATGATCCTAAAACTATTTCAGGGTTGCAAGGTTAAATTTCTTAAGTGGTTTCAAATAGAAAAGGTAATTTTTTTGTCCACCACTTACCGAATGCTCTATGTTGTTAACCATCACGTGGTACTGAGAGCTTCTGGGCGATGCTCGAAGATCTTTCCATTTTTGTTTGAATGTCAACGATCCGAAGTACATTTTACCTGTATGTAAAAGATATCACGTTGGAAAAAAGATATACATGCATAATTATGTTCGATTGTTCTGAATGGAAAGCTTTGCTATTGATTGTCACACTATTTTTTTTTTGTTTAACAGCAGTTTTGGAAATAAAGACATCAAATCGTTACAAAAATACTGAATAATTTGGAAGCTTTCGCAATCGTATTCATCATCCGACGAAAGTCTCAAGTCTCGTTATTCTCGAATTGAAAGCCTCCTCCCTCTGCTACTACAAAGTTGTTAACTAGGAACCATACCTCCCAGAATAGACAAGTTGCTGTATAGTAGTAGGGAGCAAACCATGAAATATATACTCATGTCCCTCAGAAAAGCGCTTCATGGCGCCGGCAGGTCGTCCAGAGGAGAAAATTAACTAAGAATGAAAAGAAAACGTTTGTTAAAGAGTTATATTCGCCAATTTTTTAACATTTTATGGCAGAACGAACTCTGCACGGTGTAAACAGAGATCCTCATTAGAATTATCTTTGGAAATATGTATGACTGAATAAGGTAAGATGAGCTTTGGAGAATATCAGTTTATCTCTTTTCAGCGGTGAAGTAACATGCGCTGTCATTTGTCATCGACAGATAAATAACAATTTAATAACCTGGGGAAGGGCAATACGCCTTAATGGTGTTAATGCGGAATACTGATCCTGTCTAATTATGTTGAGCCCTTAAAAAACTCGGTCGTTTTATAGCGGAGCTCGCAGAGCGTAGCCCCATAATTATACAAAATGGTAGTAATAACCCATCAAGCCGAAAAAATTTGGACTTGAACAAACTTGAACTTTTAATATGCGTGGTCAACTCTACCGCGGGCACGCCAACGCCACGGCTTTGTCCAGTAGTCCAGTGGTCAGTGCACTGGGCTTCGAGTCGGACGACCCGGGTTCTAGTCCTGGCCGGGGCAAGGCGTTGTGTCCTTGAGACGTGCGGAAAAAAAAGTGCGAGCTCCGCTTTTAGGCTCGGCTAAATCTATATATTAGACTGAACTAGAATATCAGTAGTTGAAAGAATTGAATGGAATTTTATCTAAATTGTATTGAAAAATTTACTCGAATTTACTTGCTCAGCCACGATATTGCTTTTAATTTGTAGTGAGACTCAGTGAATTAAATTATCCTTTAGCGAAGTCATTGTTAAAAGTGGGCGATAACTATCTATAATTAGAGTATATAGTTTGGTTCAGGGATACACTCTTGAACTAGCGAACCATAACCATAGTTACCGTAAACACATATTTTAATTCACGGCTGAGTTAACAGAGAGTAAAACAACGAAGTTATTTTTGAGTTTTTTAACCTTAAGCTTACAATGGTAAAAGATCTCTCAAACAAAAGATACGAGGAAACATAGAAGGGAAGAATGAAGTCCTTGAAAATAAGGAGCAAAAACAGCCAAAAGTGACCCAATAATAATAGCAATAGCATCGCTGAATATATACAACCAGGCAGACACTTAGCACCTTCAACAAGGGGTTCAGTTTTCGAATTTCTCTTCTTACCTTTTCAAAGGGATTTGGTAGTTTGCCGTCAATGTTGATATCTCAGATCTTTCAGTCGTGATATAGGTTCACTGAACAATCTTATCAAATAGACAAAACACACATTGGAACTAGAGAAAGAATGGTTCAAACGAGAGCGGTGGATACCGATATTGTTAATTATGAACGAATGTGATTTCTGTGGGTATGGCATGGTCTAATACATCCTTGGTGCTGCATTGACAAAGTCAAGCAGGTCTTTAAACAGCGGCAAACAAAATAATGTCAACATATTAAATTGAAGGTTCTTGTTTTTCCAATCTTTTTAAGTAAATTAGGTCTGAGGGTTTCGTGGCACTGCTAAAGTTTCGATGAATTTCGTGGCAGTCAATTTTTTACTAACACACACACACGCACAATAAAAGAGCTCTTAAACTAAGGGAAACCATACAAAAACTAAAGTTGATGTAACCGCTTTGGCACTTACGTTGCGAGCCTTGAACTCAAGCGTGCTTTTTCCACTTCAAGAAAAACAACAAAGGGCGTTTACTAGAGAAAAATATTTGGTTAATAGTAGTTTTGGTAGTATAAATTTGATTTGCCTTCTAGGAAGGGAAAATGGTATTTCGTTTAGCAAGAAAGTGAATCCAAAGACATATCAGATCCATTTACTGACCTGTCTGGTAAGCCGCTGGATACCGCTTGGTAGAACTATTTAGAACTAAATAAGGCGTCAGTAGATTCTACCGTAGCGTGCAAAACAGACAGGTTTGACTGGTTATTTAAACCTTTCCTTGTTTGCTAAACCAAATGAAAATCTAAATCGCGATAGAGATTTTTGATTCCTACAGTACAATTTATAGGATTAATAACAAGCACATAAAAGTTTAAGCTGAATGGTTTTTGGTGTAATGGGAATTGGAAAAAAAAAATTTCAAAGGAAGAGAAAACGCCGTAATACCCACAAGCCTATATAATAGCGGGATAGAGGTCATGTTTTTATTTCTTTTTTGTAAGAATAACCCTATATGGTCAAATAGGAAATAATCGAGCCATGCCGGTGTACGGCACTGAGAGCAAACTGTAAGGAAAATAAAAACAATTGAAATTACTAATTTCAATCCTTTTGCGTGAGGAGCCGTGCTCAGTGAGCGACCCATGTTACTAACCGTCTTTCATTTTGAGATTTTGATGAAGAAAATGTTACAAAACCTTTAGCGCTGTTAAATCATAGATGCTCTTTGCACGGTTAAAAATGAAAAAGATAAGAACATGTCAAAAGCTAAAAGAAAAATCTGTCAACGGGACAGATGATTGCGCATTTAATCTTAATTAAACTTTCTCCCTAAATAGCTGTTGATGACGCGTAGTGTGGCTCGCCTTAGAGCTTCATTCATTTTGGAGCGTTACAGCTTCGAGTGTTTTACGTGAAAAAATTCAGCTAAGTTATTAAAGAGAATAAATCAACATGTAGGTTTCCCTCCAAAATAGAAGGTTGGAAAACAACCTAACCATAAAAACAAGCAGGTTTTCTTGTAAATTAGCCAAACTAGTCAGTATTTAATTGTTCTTTGGTGTTCTTCTATGCAAATGTTACGCTTTAGGGATTCTTTCCCCGCCTTTCCATTAAAAGGTATATTTTCCATTACCAAAGCCAGTATCTTCTGCCGCCGGTTCATTCAATGACTAGACATCAACAGGTACCAGAGTAGGTTTTCAGGTGGCACGTTCGCGTAGTTTCGGATGGAATTCACCAACGACGTCCTCGATCTCAATAATAAAAAGAAAAGAAGTCAGTTTCTCTATTTTTTCATCCTTTTCTTGGAAGCGGGGTTATTCTCGTTGATCAAAATATCCTGCGCAGCCAGAGAAGGTCCTTCTTTATCACAAAGAAAACCAACTTCTGTATTCTCTTAACCTTTTGTGAGAGCTTCATTCTGCTTGTGTCTGCAGCACTGCTAAAACAATTGAATCCTCTTGTTACTTTCTGGTTTTCACTTGTTTTAATATTTTTGGTTTCAACTCAATTATCGCAAACGAACAAGATTGTGGGAAAACTTGTCAAAGAGGTTGATACTTCACAGCACTGCTATGACGTTACACAGTGGATGGTACTAGCTTAAAATGTTTCACGTTTAAGCCAATTAGATTACTGGAATAGCGTTACTTTATAGACATTGATAAATTCTATGTTAACGGTGATGAATTTAATTGCAGGTAAAAAAGGGAAAAAAGAATGATGATAAACGAGGCCTGACCATCGACGACATTATTTACTAAAAAAGGGAACAAGTTACGATCACAGGCTGTGAGACAAAGTTTCTTTGTTGTTAGAAAATGGTCAATAGATTTTACCATAACGAGGCAATTCGTAAGGTTTCCTGCGATGAGATGTTTTGTTAAAAGTTGAGAATGAATGTGAAAGCTTACAATTGAATGACTGCAACAGATTAGAGAAGTGACAGATGGAATTTCTGATGTTATGAAGCGCGTTACGATAAGAAGTATCATAAATAATAGGTGATCTCTAAGAATATATTCAACTACAAGTCGTCAGGAAATGCTGGTGGGTTGCTGTTATATAGGTTTGCCGCAGAATTTGATCTGAAGCGTTTGGAAGAGGAAAATACGGCGGCCGCAGATCTAAACTCGTTTTGTGAAGTGTTAGAAACGGTTTCGTTAGGTGCTGTGAAAACCACTTGTTGCATTTGCGCTCGAGATGTTGTCCTCTTTGATTGTTGATTTGCCACCGATTGATTACTCCTTCCCTCTTGCTTGGAAGCCTGAGATTTCTGAAATTTCCCAAAACAAACCCAACTATTATGATAAAATATTTTCGTATTATACCTACAACTGTTATCATCTTAATTGGCTCATGTATAGTGTGTTGATAACTGAATTCTGCCAACCTGAGGAGCCTGAAATCTCCTTTTCACCGATTTTGAAACAGAATTACTCTTGATGGACTGAGCTATGAGACACTTGTACAGATTTGATCGAACAAGGAGAGGATTGTATGAATCGCAGACCTCAATCTGTGGGGAAAAATGAAGCATTAGAATTATCATTTCCTGGCTTCGGCGAAACGAAGAATGGTGTAGCGTTTCCTTCAATCATGATTCAAGATCCGATCGGGGGGAGTTAGAGAGTTCTCTCTTAACTTAAAAAAATCCAATATTTATTATGCAATGTACTCTGATCATGGAAGAACACTGTGAAAAAAAAAGCGTTGCAACTATTACCTCCGCAAGTTCAAGTACATAAGTTACCTGGTCTAGACACGAGGCCACAACTGATAGCGCATTATCACAAGGTTTCTCCGCTGATGATTGAACAATACTAGGTAGCATCAACTCCTTGACTGCGATAGACTTCAACAGTAGTGAATTGTCAAAAGGGAGGAAAAGGAAATGTCCTTGAGGAGAGGAGGATGTAATCGCCATTTGATGACACCGTAAAGCCACAGTGGGACCGGTGGTCTTGGCTAAAAGGGACAGGCCCTAAATTAAAGATGTAAAAAATGTTGAGCTCGATAAAAACACATCGAACCTTTACCTTACTGTTTTGGGTAGATAGCATATACAAAGCGTAAAAGTTACTGACCCGTTCTTTCAGTACTGAGCACAAAGCATAAAAGTGCTGCCGATTGCTCTCCAGTTCTTCCCAGTCTAGTTTCCAACAAACTGTTGGTCGAACAATGTATGGCTGTAAACATACAAAATATGCTATGACTGATAATTAAAATTAGTGATGAAACTTCGAGCCAGGTCTTTTGAGTACTTTGCCCCACAGTTACATGCAAAGCTGTCATATCCTTCGTCATTGCAACTCTTGCTTGCTCTAGTGGCTATGGCTTTTCTCTTGGTTATTTGGATAGACACATAGCGTTTTGTGTTCTTCGCCGAGTTATGATACAGAGCCCCTTCTTGACTAGTAATTAAGAACCCTCTCCCTTGATTAGTTATATTTTGCAAATTTATGGTTAAACAAAGATTACAGTGGGAGGATTAACATGATGATAGTGATACCATCGAAAAATAATAAAACCAAATTAATGGCACTTAAAAAAGGAGAGTAGAACATAGAATATAATGCTTACCATTCCAAAGAGCTGTTAAGGATAGTGTAAGGTGTCCGAAAATTAAGAGAAAAAAAACAAAGAGTTAAAAAGTGACATACAATTTTCCCAAAAAGACGGATAGAATATTCAAATCGCATGTAATGGTCATTCTAGTTGTAGTCCTTAATGATAAGGCACCAAATAAACTTACCACTGACTCGCAAACAGCCTCTGTATTAACGAGTTTCATTGCAGTTAAATTGTGAACTGGATAGTTTAGTACATGTGGTTTTGTTATTGCTACACCTTTGCTGGTGACGTTAGCCGATTCTGCGCACACAGTCTGTGGATTCAATCACAGGAAGCCATTACTTAAATGCGTATGATGACTCCTCCTCAGGTTTTCATCTCAGAAGGCATGCCATCGAAAAAAATTATACCTCGATAAAGGAAGCAATGATTTCAAGACAGAGAAGCACTAACCAGGTGTGATTGGTAAGGCAGATGAAAAGGGTCCATTAGGCATTCGTGGAGATCACACTTCAGAGTAAGACTTGTCTCGGTGACATTATCTTGACTATGATCCCCTGAAAGGATTCGTAAAAACAAGCAAAACATTGCAGTGTAAATTCTTAGTGTAGCTTGAATCCAAAACGGTACGAAATTGCCGATAGATGTATCTTTTCAGCTGACCTTCACTATCTTGTGTAAACGCACTCGGCAGAATTATCCGTAAATGTTCTTGGTCTGTGCTGCTATCCAGAAGCCAAATCTTGAAAAAGTTTTCAAAACTGAGTACATCTTAAAAGTGAAAGATATGGGAGTTGGTTATAAGTCTGCGTTAGTTTGTCTGTGAAACTGGATCGAAAATTATGATAGATAATTGCGTGCCTGCAAAAATGGAGAAAATTTCACCCGATATATTTTGAGTAGACATTTCATCTCAATCGTTAGGCCACTCATATCTCTGATCAATCGTGTCGGTGCGTTCTCATCTTCGTTTTGCAACTTGCAGTTTCTCTGCACTTTGCTCTCTTTACTTTTTTAAAACAAGAATTGTCACTATTTACCTTTCCCGAGGGAAACAACATCTACAAGTCCACCATCCGATAACTCGCTTTCGTCACCATCTGGTGAACTGCTACTTTCTTTAAAAATAGACACTCGTCAGCATTAGAACATGACTTCACCAGACAACGACTTTAAGAGATCAGCTATTGTCGTTTGTCTACACAACGATATTTTCCTAATATTCTCTAAGCCTCGATTTTCAATTTTTAATAGGAGATAATCTTAGAATTTTATGATTTGTCGATTCCCTCAGTGATATCATATTCTTTTATAACAATTAGCTTCTTACCAGATGGAGTGCCACCTTCTTTTTTGTTTAGTTCCTCTGAACTTTGCACAATGACAACCTGGATTTTCTTTAAAAAGGAAAACAACATGATATGGTTTCGCGATATCGGTGTCTCGAGCAGTCTATTTTGTAACCTGGCGTTTTTGTTTTTATTTGTTTCTTTTTTGAAAAAAAAATTCACCGCACTAATGAAACAAGGTGGAAGTTTATTCAAAGCACTCCTCTTCTCCCTAAAGTTAAAAAATCTGATGAATTATAAATTTTTCCGTCACAATATGTGCACTAACGCTATAAAGGTAGTAACTTAAGGAGTCTTCATTAATACAAAAGCGACCGTCAAATTTTCAGCGATGACAAATTGTTCCCGCCTTATTTGATTTCATCAGCACGGCACAGCTCACAAGATGGCTCGTGGATTCATTTGTAAACATTTAAAGATTTAAACAGATGCAGATATTGCGCAAAAGTGGGATGTGACTGTGATGATAAAAATGAAAAAGTAAAAATGGCTTGTCGCATTCATAGAATGTGCACTAAAGCGACAAGAGTGGAGAGGTGGGGGTATTTCATTTTCGTTGTCGTTAAACCTTTATGCTTTCAAGCTCAATATCTTTGAAGAACGCCTCGATGTGTCTCACAACTGACGTGGCCGCTCTGCAAGTGAGGAATGTAATCTCTAGCTGGCAGCTAGATGTACTCATCTAGGAAGAGAGAAAATAAACTAGGCCGTTACCAATAAAGAAAGTGGAAAAATAAAAATGTGGCTAACAAGATTAACGGAGTGGAATTCATTAGTTTTAGTAGCTGGCCAAATAGTATAATTCGCGACAAGCAGATGAAACGCTCCAGAAAAAACGAACTTATTGGAGCCTTCCAAACCTACTAAGTATATGTAATTGGAGAGGCCTACATGATAACTATGTCGTCACCAGTGCTCTCAATTGATAGCAATGATTTCCATTGAGCTCGAGAAGAGCTCGAGGCAACTTCTATAATTCTACCTTTCGGGTATGTACCGGTGGGAGAAGGGAATGATGCCATATCTAAGTGCACCATCAATTCCCGAATTCTTGAGTCCATGGTTTCTCTAAGATCCCCAGATAGCCTTGCCACAATCGATGTTCTGAAAAAATACAGGACTGTGCAGATATAAGGGAATTTTCTTAATATTTAATCTTAAAAAACTTAATCGCAAATCTTGACGACAGTTGTTTCTAACCTGTCTTAAACTTTGCGACTGGCGTTTGAACTGTGTTATAGCTTCCTTAAGCCCTTGTATGATAACGTCTGAAATGAGAAGACAGATATTTAAAAATCTTTCCTGTCACATGTGATTATGTTGGTCCTACCCATTTCATAAGGATATTGTGTTGAAGTTTAGTTCTGCATGAAAGAGAAACAAAAATGAAAAAAAAAACGCTTACCTGAAGAGACCCTAGATGAAACATCCCTTGCGATGTTATTAAGTTCTTTAAAGGCAGTGTGAAGCTTTGGAAAGTTTCCTCGGACGTGTTGTAAGTTAAAAAGGTTCTGAAAATGTATCACACAATGACTCTCTACAGTTTTCTCATGAGTTCAATAAAATTATGCGAAACAACTCGCCGTGTTGAACAGAAAACCTTTTTTTCATGGTTGTTTCCCTCGAATGATTCGTGAGGCAGCACCACTTACGGATAGTACCATGAGTCTACAATGACCTCCCAATGTTTCCTAAAATCCTATAAGTTTTCTGATTTAACTGTATCACTCCCTATTTCCCGTCCAAGTTTGCTGCAAAAAAGGCGGGTCCGAAATGACACTCTAATCCTGGTAGAGTTCCCGGTTGAAGCAGTGAGGAGACAAGGTTTTTTCTCCGCCAGGGTCCAACTTCGTTGGAGAGACTTGAAGATATGCGAAAGACTAGTCATTTTCTGCTACACTTCGGAAACTACAATGAGCTCCAGCACTACATAAACAAACAGGCCTGTAAGCTATAACCTCTAGTCTAATGTTAGTGTAAAATTAATGTCTTCTTTCTGCTCTGTGCGAGCTCTCTTAAATTAAATTTTGATACAAAAGCAAACTTAATCATACCATACCTCAAGAGGGCTTGTGAGAGCAATCAAACCAAAGAATGGTGTTCTACAAGGCCCGCTGAGGTGCGTCACAAGTGAAAAGAAATTCACCAAAGTATCATGAAGGTATTCACATGTATCTGCGTCAAATGGAGGACTATAGTCGACCAGTAACACTCGAGCTGGAAAAGATATATTTCAAAGAAAAAAAGTACTTTTTGTATGCTATGTAGATAAAAAAAAAAGGACGACAGAGTTACACAAGAAGAGAAGGTGAAGTCTTCAGTACAGTTTTCTCAACTTTCTCATTTCTGGATTAAAAGATTACTAAACTTTTCCCCGTCCTCTGACTCTTCTTCCTGTAATGAATGAAGCTGTGTAACGGCCATGATAAGATATGCATGCTTTTGTTTTGCACTGATTTTGCACTCGTTTTTTACACCGGTCAAATTTGCCAGACTTCACCTCAGGACAGCCTTTATAAAGTTGTCTTTTTTTTTACCTGGTTGTCGTATGAATGCCGTCCGATTTCCTTGCTTTTCCTTAGTTTTATTCATGAGCGCTTGTTGGACAATATTATGCTGGTATCAAAAGGGAAGAACAGTAACATTTAGGACCTATTTATGAAGTACAAAAAGAATTAACTCTAATTTAAAAACTAATACCTAAAGTAAGATTTGCTCAGACGGTGCGACTGGCTTTCATTTGTGATTTAACGTATTGGTATTGCGAATTAAAGTAAGTTAAAAAGCCGTCAGTGATATTTTTCAAATTCCTACCTGCTGTTAAAATGCTTCGCTTCCACTTATTCAACTGCTAAAATTTTACGTATTCAAGCAATAACTTTTTCAGTTGTTGATACTGCAGCGAGATTTTGGCGCGAAATACTGACGCTGGCCGCACAATCTTTCCCATGATCAAAAGTCATTTTCTTCCCACTTTCAAACTGAAACAACCAGCCGCTGGTCAGCCTACCGTTGGCTCAAGTTGTTCCATGAGTACTCCATTTTGAAAAAATTTTACGGGATTAGTCTTGAGTTGTACTCAATATTTCGTCTAAGATGAGGGATGTTAAGGGATACATAAGCAGAAAACAAAGCGAAGGGGGAGCCATGGCACCAGATTGGGCCCATCTTGGTGAATTGTACGAGAAGAAGTAAGTTTGGTCGCTTCTGAGCTGTATAAGAGGAAGTGCTTAGTCATTGATCGAGTTTCAGTCTTTTAGACTCAAGCTTAGTGTAAAGTTGTTCTTGGTTATGGTATAGAAGAATTTATCCCAGTTCTACAGAAATTTTCAGTGATTCATGGGTACTAATGCTGGCTTTTGGATTTCTTTGCTCTAGAGATACTAATTCGTCTTTTTCCAAATGACAGAAATGTCCCTGTACTGTGCACATGTTAATTGACATGTGATCTGATTGTTTTTAAGGTACAACAACAGCGTCAAACCCAATGCTTAAAATACTGAAATTATACTTTATTATTGATAATCATACCTCCATGAATATAGTCGAAAACGATAAGTGTTGTGTTTTCTTTATTAATACGCTTTATTTTTTTGGTGATGGGAAAAGTCTTTATAGAATATTTATTATAAACTGTAAATAACGAATTATAGGACTTAATGTGATTTATTTTATGACTCTTTAGGTTATGGCATCAACTGACTTTGAGACTTACTGAGTTTGTCAAGAGTGACTACTTTAACAAATATGGAGGGCTTGTAGAGGTAAAGCACTATAATTGCTCAGTGTCTTCACAGTTGGGTGCAGCTGAAATGCTGAAGATTGGTGATATACATATACAATGTAATATGCTTTCAGACCCATTCACCTAACAAGTAAAAAGTATGCATGTAGATGCATTAATTTGGATTTATTCATTTATTATAGTTGTTAAAAAAACAAAGAACTAAAATTATGTCAGTTAATTTTGATATTGAAAAATTGGTACCTGTTAACCATTTAACTTCCAGAAGTGATAAACATTTAACTTCTCCATATAATATTCATACACTGTCCAGCAAACGGGTAATAAGAGTACTCAATCCTTATCAGGTAGAAGTTGTATCTTGATCTAACATCAAATTCTTGTGACTTAGTTACAAGGAAATGTGTAGCAGCCAGAGGGGAGAATTAACAATAAGATTTTGGGAGTTTAAGGGCTAATACCATGTGTTAGTCGCTGTATATTGACTTTAGGTTCTCTTTTCTAGCTGTATGAAAATTTCCTAGCAGACTTTGAACACAGGTATGACATACAGTATGTGTAATAGAACTATGCATTAAAAAACAGCTTTCACTAAACAATACATTTTAAAGGCTTCTACCACCCTGTAATATGAAAATGATTTTGTCTATGATGCTTTCAGGACAGATTCCAAATAACTCAAACTTCAGATTGGAAAAAAAAAGAAGAAGAATTAATGTAATAATTCTTGTCCAGTGTAGTCATCATTGCTACTACATAGATTGGAGTTTGAAAGTTGTTGTCTTATGTGGTCCAGTTCTGACAAGTGTACACTTGATTATAATGTAAAAAGTCTAAATCTTACAGCTTTTATATTTTTGATTACAGAATAAACATGCTTTCACTCATGGAAATTGTGCTATATGTGATAAAGGAAATAAAAGGTAGGTTGTAAAGCAGTTGTATCTCTGTTTCCTTGTGTCAAATTCATAAGTTTGAGAGTGAAGAGGCCACAATACACACATAATTATATTTTCATGTAGAGGGTATCATTTTTTTTTTTTTTTTTTTTTTTTGGCAGAACCAGAAACTGCTATAGAGTTTCTAGAGAGGGAAAAAGAAAAGGTTTGTGTGCATGTACTTTTGTGCTTCTTCTTTGGTTTTTATTTGCCAAAGTGCTTGATACATGAGCACACAGTTTAGTTGAATTTCAACCAATTTGTAAAAAAAAAAGGATGTATTCAATCCTTTTTTCTTGTATTGTATTTTGTGCTTTGTTGTTTTCCATGTAAAAAGATGATATATAAATGCTTAAAATGCAATTGTTAGTCACCTTTGCACCATTGTAAAAGTGTATACATTTTAGAGGAAAGGTTAATTTTGTTTTTGATTTTCAGATAAAAAATGATGTAGAGGCAGAGGTTCTTTGTATGACAGCAATTGGAAACATTAAGCTTCAACAGAACAAAATGGAAGAAACAAAGGTACATCTTATAAATTTCTTATTAATAATAACAGTGTACATATCATCATAACCTAGTCCCAAAGATTTCAGATACAGCTGTTAACATGTGATTATTTTTCAAGGCCTTAATTGAACAAGCCAGAGGGATGCTTGAAACTATCGATGGTGTTACTACAGTCCATGGCAGATTTTATGAACTCTGCAGCAACTACCACAAAGTGAGTGAGATGAGTTAAAATCAATTGCTAGGTAGCATTAATTCCTTACTCCTTTGGCTGCACAGGGGCTGTGATAATGGCATTTATGGCTTACCACAGTTAAAGAATGAACTTCATTCTGTTTATCTCCAGTTTTTTAATGGTATTATTATTATTATTATTTGAAAAGTTAGGGGTATGAAAGTTGAATAAGAACCATGTTACTGTGCTTTTGATAACAATGCTTCAAATGAAGCAAAAATATCACCAGTGTACATTTTGGTTTGAACATTTCTCAATCATCTCTCTCATGTCATCTCTCATGAATACCTCTGAGGCCTTTCCAAGAAGTTTGACATTAGTTCAAACAGTCTACTACAATTGTTTTTTACTTGAGTGGTACTTACTTATGATGTTTGAACTATTTACTTAGATTACTGGCTCATATAATGACTACTACAGAGATGCACTGCGCTTCTTGGGATGTGTGGAAGTTAGTGCCATGAAAAGTATGTTTTAAATTTCTATAACACTGTAGATACAGCAGATGTCTGCAAAGTACATCTTTTGTAGAATCTGATACATTTTACAGTGTAATGGTTTTGTACAAATGATGTGTTTCTGTTTATAGGAATGTAAACTCTTGTCTCACAAGATAGTCACTTAGTAGTAGTTAGTTAGATAGTTATTTTTATTTTTATTACTTGATTAATATTTCTTACATGGCCCTGTAAGCTATGTTAGCTTTAAAACCCACTGTGTCTAAATGAAAGATGTTGTTATTGTTGTTGTCACTATTACTATGTATTGATTGATTGTGATGGTCATGCAGTAGGGTAGAATCAGTTTGTGCTTCTTTACACCCTTACTGAGTATGTGTCATGTGTGCATGCAATACTAAGTATGGGATATCATTAATTTTGATCCAACACCAAATTCTTAAAATTATTATGGGAGAAGAGTTCAGCAGACACTTACTGGATTACTGAAATCAAGTTCTTAGGAGTGAAAGGGTTAATAGGTGTACAGGTAAGTGATGGATTAATCTTACCAACTGAGGTTAACTAATATTGTACCTTTTTCTGTTGCTAGTTGGAGACCAAATCGATAGAGCTTTACACTTGTCTCTTGCTGCCCTATTGGGAAATGATATTTACAACTTTGGAGAGTTGGTAAGTTAAATGCACAATGCAAAATAAGTACACAATGTTTTAGTGGTGCTCAGTGCTCCAAATTCAATTCTTTTTCTGTGGGCAGCTTACCAGTAAAGCAAGAAAATGGTTTTAGATGACAAAATACATGTAATAGGAAAAGACACTCTGAGAAATGCTGCACAACAGATTGTGCTGCTGACAACACTTGTTGATTTAAATTAATTGCCAAACTATTGACATTTGGTTTGGTGGTGAATGCCACACTGTTTGGTTGATACTCAGGCAACATCTTGTGGCTACTGGTAAAAGCAACAAATTATATTCACTAAGGAAGTATTGCATTTAAACTTGAGAGAAACAGTAAACACTCTGTAATAAAAACTCTGTAACTTGGAACTTGATCACAAATTGTGGTCACAGAACATGTGACAGTCACTGCATCAATAGTCACCAAACTTTTTTGTTCCTTTTACTCATCATGAACAACAAAAAGGTAACAGCTTGGAACACTGGCTGAACATTTTTAATATGAATAATATTTTATAAACAATTTTCAGCTGGCACATCCAGTATTACAGTCTCTCCATGGAACAGAGCATGGTTGGCTAATAGAGCTTCTCTTTGCTTTTAATAGTGGTAAGTAAAGCTATGTTATGTAAAATTTAACACAAGACTTAGTATACATCTGCATGTAGTGTATTACTTTAATTACAATGCATGTGGTACTGAATTACATCAATGTAGGGGATAAAAATAAACAGTACAGTTGTCAGGTGGGGCTAAATAAGAATTTTATTGTACTATTCATGTACTATCATATTACTGTCAAAGATGAGCGAGTAAAACTAGTTTACACTTTAGTCCCTAACAATGACTACATGTACATACATGTAGCATCCAATTTCCCCAAACAATGTCATCCCTGAATCAAACATTAGGGTTACAAGAATGAAGAACCTTAGGAAGCGAGAAACAATGTGAAGAATGTGCAAACTGATGTTATGGTGTAAGGGGTAAAGAGTATGGATGAATTACAGTTCTGTATTATTTCAGGAAAAAGTTAAGTAATGGATAAGCCCCCAAATGAAAATTTAGTGGATGACTTCTTAACAATTTTTTCTTTGCAATTCAAGTGGAGATGATATCATATTTATCTCATCATGACCATTAAATATTATCTTTTTGTAGGAGACATAACACAGTTTGAACTCCTGAAACGTCACTGGCAAAAGCAGGTACAGCCAAAATGTGAAAAAATTGTTCTTTGCAGATGTATTGTAGTTTGATCTGATTGTCTTTTATTACAACTACTGATATTCAACACACATGTACACCTGTAGCTTGCAATATACTTTATCTCCCTAGAACAGAGAACTTATATTAAAAGGTTACCGGTACATTGTATGCTGGTGCCTGCAACAGATTTGTTTCTTGTAAGGTTTTTTATTCAAAAATACTTCAGCAACTATGTAGGGTAGCTTTACATGTTGATCAATAATCTAAAGTCAATTACTGTCTTCATTTTCCTAAACAGGCTGATTTGAATGCCAGTTACAAAAGCCTGCGACAGAAGATCAGCCTGCTCTGTTTGATGGAGGTCAGTTCTTAATTCACTTCATGAAACAATGTTTGTCAGTTACTGATGGATTTTAGCATCCTCTTTACTAGCACACAAGCACATGTGGCAGTACTGTACACATATATTGTAGTGACAGTCATCTTTTATTATAACAGCTTACGTTCAAAAGGCCCTCCAATGACAGAAACCTCTCATTTGAAATGATATCAAAAGAAGCACAGCTACCTCTTGAAGAGGTGAGTAAATGAACAGTAATGCTGCTGACTGAAAGGCTGACAGTGTAAATCTACCCTTGTCACTTTGGTCATTTTTGAAAGTGCTCCAAAGTTTCTGACTTTTAGCAAGGGCCTTTTGATAAGTAGACAAACTTGGCTTTGAAATTTATTCCAGCTAGTCCCCTGTTCACCTGTAATAATCGTTTTGTCACAAGTTATCAACTACACGTGAAATTTGGTTTGTTTCTTCTAATTGAAAATGGGAAACTGTTTAAAAGTGTATGACATTACCATGTTTTCTTTAAGAGCAAAGAGTACATGAACAGTACAGGTAGACATTAAGTTACTTTGGACCTCTCGCAAGAATGAGTGCAATGTTGAAAAAATGTTTTTGCCTCAAGCCTTTTCATTATGCTTTCCTCCTGTATCAGTTTATCCTAATTGTTCCCTTGGGTGAAATATTTAAGACTAATTTCCAAATGCATGATTCCATAGTTGTGTTCAGTTTCCTTTTAGCCTACAAAGTTTAAGGATGTTGATAGCAATTCATACAGTGTCTTCCCGCTTGTTTTCCAAACAATGCCTTCTTAGGGAGCCTATCTTAAGCTGCTACAGTCCAGACTGCTTTGAAACCTCTACCACTTCTCTGTGAAGGGCATAAAGTGATTTTTTAGAGAGAAAAATGAATGTCAAAAAGTTAACACATGTATAGAACCAGGGTAAATTTAAAATTAAGTTTGTGCCTTAGTTCCAAAGATTCTCTCTTCTCTTTTTCCTGTTTCCCCAAGTCAGCCCTTTGTCATCTCTGTGAGTGAGGACATTGAATGCTATGAACTTACATACTTTGTTGACATTCAAGGGCATTGACTTAAATCCTGTTCACTTTGTCTATAACAGGTTGAACTTCTTGTTATGAAAGCATTATCTCTTGGCTTAGTTAAAGGTGAGGGGTATAGAATATGACTGTGCTTAGAGTCTTTGACAACTTTTCTACTTATAGTCCATGTAGGAGAGTTCTTGTGATGTATTTGAATTCAACTTAGAAAGAAAGCAAAGGGAAATTTAAAAAAAAATATATTTTTTATCAGTTTCTTTGGTTTGTGTCCCTGTCAGCCTTGCATTTGGGGAGAAGTTTTACATTTGTAATGAATCTCATCGTTAGGCTGTTGTTTCTTGCTTTACTTAACTTCATTGGACGTACACATGGACTGCTTCCCCTTGTGTGTGAGGGATTATTTGTTCTTAAGTTTCTCACAATGACACTTGTTTGCCCCTTTGACCAACTGAGAGTAAGCATCAAACCTTCTTAAGATTTAGTGACCTGTTAGGGGGAATTATATTGGCTTTTGACAGACAACACAACAAGGTCAGTTACCCATTATTGTACTTTACGGTAAGCTAGTCCCATTTCCTTTTTTTGACAAACGATCTGTCATTCGTCACCAGGCTCGATTGATGAGGTTGAACAGATGGTCCACATGACTTGGGTGCAACCAAGGGTACTGGACCTAGCTCAGGTGAATAAAATAATCCTTCATATATTTAGTGCTGGTATTTTTCCGACGCTGAGGGGAACCTCCTTAGTTTAGCAACTTTCATTAACTTATGCGAAAAAGATAACATGACACGGTTGACCAGTAATTGCTTTGCTGGAAACGAATAGAAAATTTTTCATAGTAATACGTTTGAAGTAGAGACGATCGTGTAGTGTAATCATTCTGACGAGTACACATGTAACCCGAAAGAGGTGAGGCTGTAAGAATTTCTTTCCTGTAAAATAGACAAAAGGCTGGAAGCTTCTTGTCGTGTAGTAAATTAATCCCAAATTGTTTTTTTTCGTCTCGAAACTCGCTTCGAGCCTCGAACCTCGAAGTTTTCGAAAATCTTGTTTCGAGGAAACGTCAACTTACATTTTATGTACAATTAAAAGGCATTGTATCTTAAATCTGGGTGGGAGTCATCAACAGAATCAAGTAAAGCTTTTTTTAGTCGAATGTTGTAGAGATATTGGTTTGTGAAAGCTTGTGTTACTTGATATCTGCTGCTACTCAAATAGCAATCGTCAATTGTGATTGGTCAGTTTCGATTCGTCGGCAAAGTGAGGTCGGTATTCCCAATCCCATTTAACTTCTGTCCTGGACTCGTGTAGCTATATTATGTGCCTTAATATGTCGCGAAGCGGGAAAGCTGCATACTTATTTAAGCTGTTTTATTTCGTTACAGATTGCTCACATGAGAGATCGGTTATCGGAGTGGTGTGATAAGGTTAAGACTCAAGTCTACTCTGTTGAAGATCAAGGCCCCGAGCTCCTTGTGTAATATAGACTTCTCTACTTTCATTATTGTGTTAAATAAAGACTAAAAACATTTTGACGGTCGTTTGCTGTCAAACTTTATTGTGTATGCAAGTCTCACAGTGTCGATGGGATGGAAAACAGCGTGCGCGAAAACTTCAAGCGGCGGGCATCCAAATTTCGGCTACATTGTATCACCAGATTATGAGACTAGGAGGCAAATTTGACACAAGAATTGAATGGTTTCTTAAGTGTATCTGTGTGGTTGATGATGAAAGCTGAGAAGACGCTCAAGGGTAATCTCTATTGCATGGTCGGAGAGACTGATATTTTGGAGGCTACCCTCGAAGGCAATTCACACATTACTTTATGTTGGTTCATCGAAATATATGCGATTCGGAGAACCTCATCTTCCCTCCGACTACACGTAAGAACGGCAGTTCTCGCTCTCAGAGCTGCAATGCGTTTGGCAGCACAAATCAACTAGGACTACATCACGTTTCTATCCAAACTTAAGAAGACAGCTTCGACATGAGCCTTTCGATCCGTAGCGCTGAACCAGAAGTACGAATCGTCAACCGAAAATTGTGAGTAGAAATGATTAAATATGTTGAGCTACACAAGGCCGAATGGACTCCCGGGTACTGAGTGGCTGGAATGTTTTGACAATATTGGGGAATGGCTCGAAAGACAACCTTTGAATCCACAAGTATGTTAGACGAAAAGTGTCTGTTGTATATCAGAAACAACTTATAGACGGATAAATGCACGTGCTGAGGAGAACACGTGTTATTTACAAAACTAATGTCTAAATATAGGGCTAATTACCGACGCAATTGTTTTCCAAGATGTCCTTTGAATGCACGGGTGACTCTACCAAATATTTACAATGGCGGAGATTTTCTTCGTTTTTAATTGCAGGTTTTCAGAAAAACATTTTAAGAAAGAGCACGTAACTCAAAAACATCACAGAAGGGTTGTAAGAAAACAATTTCGCGGGCTCGAACAAAGAAACTGGCTTTACTTGGGAATCAATGCAAAAAGGAAAGAGGAAGAAATTAAAACGTGATAGGGAGAAGTGTTAGAACATTTCCTTCAAAGGAAGAATCTAAGAAGAGAGATCAGTGGTGGCAAGGAGATTGAAAAAAAGGGGAATCAAAGCAAATTGTAAGTGAGATGGTTGTTGATTTGAAAACCTTTTGTCTAACGGAGAGGAAAAAAAGCCAATTTAAAGATGATCTAACTGACGACGAGAAAACTTGGCAAATTTCCCTCGAGAAACTGTAATGCTTTGGTCCACAATTAACCGTAGCTCATGGCACGATTGAAAAGTTTTATCTTTCAGGGGTGTTCTAAGTATTATTTTAATAATACATTTACCTACTATCATTAGTTTGATCTAATTGTGCGGAACACGACTAGAGGGCACGAGAGATGTAAGTCTGAGGTGCATTTAAAAATATAAAGATGCAATAAAAATGTACCTCGTTCCTTACTAGGTATTTTGAGAACGGTGAGTGCGTGAATATAATCAAAATAAACCACTTTAATAATGTTGATGGTTTCCAACACAATGCGCAGAATCACGAACTGAGGGCGCTTTCCATTTGCTGTAAGTGATCGTCCAAAATCGGAATCGCTTTCGGTAGTTTACCCCCATTTCAGTTAAAGTTCATCTGAACTGGAAATACAATTTGGAATTGGCTAATCTGGCCGGTCAGTTCTTATTAAGGACAGAGTTATGGCTGAATAATCTGGTCAACCAGTCTCACCCTATGGAAACATAATAATTTTCACTGCGGTAGCTTTTTCTCTTATTTTCAAATCGTTCATTCCATATTTAAAATAAATCAGGCGCCTGCTCTGCCAATTGGACTGAATCTAATATCCTTTGTTATTTATCGGCTTTACATTTGATTACAATCGGTGATTTCTTTAAACTGAATACAACCCCTGAGTGCTACTAATGGGAATCTCGTGGTGAGGTAAAAATGAATTGCTAATTCTTTCGAGAGCTTATCGAATGGGTGTCGAAATCCAATCCTCATCAAAGGATTTCATAATGTGTATCGATTCGTAAGTGGTTGAGGGAACAGATGACCTTCTGGTGAAAGCAACAGTGCGAAAAAGGAACCCTGTCGGCAAAGGGGTGTGAAGCACTTCTCCTTTTTTAGTAGAAGTCCAGACCACGTGATTGATGCGCTATTGTTATTCTTTTTACAGCGATGTAGGTTCTCGATCCCACAATGCACTTGTCGATTTGGTGCTTGGCTACCGTTGTTCTTCTTTTGTTTCTTGCAGTACAATATGGGGACGGTAAGTTACAACTTTTGATTTTTGGTCTGCTGTCTGCTTTCATTTCATTTCAAATTTTAAAAGAGGATTAATTTTCTTCCATCCTCAGGCAAATCGGGAGCCATTCAAGAAAAAGATTTGCCCGATGGCGAAGAGGAGAAGGAGTCTCAAAGGGTGAGAATTTGCTTTTGGTGTCATCGTATTTACTAGAAACGCAGGTGAAATAGAAAGGTTTTGTCCCGCTAACTCAGTTCGTTCATAACCTAAGACAGGGAAAAAAATAACAAATTTTCAACAGGAAAAGGCCTCAATTGTACAGCGCATCGCACAGCGCATCGCACAGCAATAGTTATGTAAATCTGTCTGTTCATTAAACCTTTAGCTAAAGCCAACCCTCAAACCAGAGGCAGCGTCCTAATTCATGAATAACATGTTCGCCTCATTTATTTGTTTCCAGTCCGAAATCCCGCGACATCACCGCAGCCGTGAGGCTCACAGCCGTCATAACAGGAGGGCCGAGCGCGGTCGTTACCGCTCAGTCTTAGCCGTCGGCGTTGGCTGTGCAGTGGCAGGCGGCTGGATTTGCTTAGCGACTGTGGTTTATGTCGTGCGATATCTTCGCGCCAAAAAGGACGCGGCTACACGTGACTCCCCTGATGACCTGTTGTGATTAGTCATTGAAGACAAGTTATCATTCGAATGATTCATTAGATGGAATGAAGCGGAGAATTAATACGATTTAATGAAAATAATGTATCATTCACTGGTGTCGGGGAGGTTCTTACCTCAAAAGGGTTTGAACTTTTAATTAATAGTTATTCTTCCGCCTTGAAGAAAGCATTCTTGTGTCCTTAAATTAAAAAAAAAAAGTATAATATGGTCTTGATGAGGTGGTGAAGTTGTCGAAAATTGAAGAAACTCGTCTTAGTCGGTAATAATACTTTGCTTTAAATTTCAGTATCGATTCTTTATTGTATTTGTATGAATGGCTGTATAACTGCATCGATTTTTCGTTTAATTTGAAATTCACGATCAGTCAAAGTCACAGATGACATGGTTTGTCCATTGTGTGAAAATGATTTTAAAATGCTCAAGCTTGGAGGTGTTCTTATTTTGTTTCAGATATCTTCATGTTATAAATAGGTGATGGTTTGATCGAAAATTTATATATTACATTAATATAATTCAATATACATTTAATAATTGAAGTAAGGTAGCGGCGCAAATGTGAACCGTTGCGCTGTTTCGTTTATAATGAGCTAAACTTTATATTAAGAGAAATAAGACGTTGCAGATCAAATTGAAATGAAACTGCAGAACTTTGTGCTTAATGATCGCAAAAACCTCAAGACAAAGAACAATTCAGCATTGTATATTTGTAGTTATGCGATATTTACGTTTATAAATGAACGGAGAAGTAAACATCGAAAGAAAAATAGTCTATTCCTGAGTTTTTTTTGGAACACATTGTCTCTGGTCTCGATGTCCGCGTGAAGTCTGGGGTAAGGTAAGCAAGTCTCTAACTGTAACGTCACTGTCTAATGTGGGGTCCAGAGTCTTGTTCAGTCCTTAGAGCGCTAAGGAACCGGTCACCAGTTATCGTCTGAGGAGGGGTGGGAGGGGTGGGAGGGGTGGGAGGGTTTGGAGGATTTTGGTTGTGTCGCAATAAAATGTACCTGATCCCCCAAGGCTGTGCAGTATTCTAATGCCCTTCCCGTCCCCCCCCCCCCTGCCCCATCCTCTTATTGGCAGTCAATTTTCTATATTCACCCCTTCATACTCTGTTAGCGACGACTGATCCCCCTCCGTTCCTACTAAAGACGGTGTAACCCCCCCTAGAAAAAAACCTCTTGAACCCCCCCTCCGGAGATAAATATAAACTGCTCCTTAGAGGACCCAGCTAAAGGACCAAGCTGGTGTTGTACCTATAACTTGTAGCCTGCGCAGACACGTCCCCCTCCCTTTGAGTAGGAAGGACGGATGTACACAGGGTAATCACATAAAATATTATACAGGTATGTGAGCCAAATTAAGATCTTGTTGAAATTATTATTTTCATCATGACTTAGTCAATCTTCTCAACAAACTGGACCCCCCCAAGCTCATCAACCAATAAGTGCGAAAGGCGACACCGATTGACGACCTGGCCACTCGCATTCCTCGGGATTACTCCCTTAGTAGAGGTCGAAACCAGGGTTCAACCCTTTTACAGAGCGTGGATCGGAGTGGATCGGAGTCAAAACCGAGGGAAAAAAATGCAACTATCCGAACAATTGACCAAAACAGCCAAGACAAGCATAAAAGAGGGCTAACTCGTTGAATATACACACATGTTTTCAAACACCTGTTGCCATAGAGATCAGAAGTGTTACTTTGCAACATTCCCTACATCAGTCCTTGGCTTGATGAAGGTCTACAGAGCCTGGTGTTTAATCAGACAGTATGCCTGAATGAATCTGACTTACTGCATACGTAGCGACTTTCCTTATCATCGAATGAGTTCACCCAAGACACTAATTGCTCTATCTACAAAAGGCGATATTGCATACACGATTACTGCAACATGTCACCCATAGAACAATGTTACTGTCATAACATACCCGTCGTCACTGACAGGTACTATTAAGCCCCCCTTACTACGCATGTGTTAGCTTCGATTCATAAGTAATGGTCTCTAGGGAGAAGAGTGACTTCATCTTCGACTAACACTCCAGAAACTGCGATCTTTTTCGGTAAGTAAATGCCGGTAAGGCTTGGGTTTTTTTTGTACAATTTTACTAATTGTAAAGCACTGCTCTTGAATTCGTGCAAAACTTAATGTGGAAGTATGACAATTTTTGTCAACATAGGCAAGTAGTTTATTTTGAGTGGCATTTTAGTGCTGGATTGTCCGAAAGGAAATTCCAAACCTTATCATACGATATTTAAGATATACCATGTATCTTTTGACAAAGAAAAGAGAAACAGATCGAAAAATGTATTGATATACCAAAACCTCTGAAATGGAAATAGTTTTGACATAGACAAGATCATTTCAGATGTTGTTCTGGTGCCATATTCACGGTTTGTTGTACAACTACACGCCGTTTATGGATGTTGAAGTCGGTGCTCTTCGATCGCTTTAAGTCTCTTGATGTTTTAAAAGCCTTACTCAGATAACAACTATGAGACATCTAAATTTTTAACTGCTTCGTTAATTAAAAGACTTTAAAATCTGTAGAATAGATGACATGTATATCTGTTCCGGAATGCTGATCACAAACATCCCTCAGGGAATCTCAAAACAGAGTTTATTGACCTGTTTAAGTCGGCGTGAAATGAGATTCGAATGTGATCCCGTACTAAATTCTTTCCGTGGCCGGTGTTGTCATCTTTGACGTACACAAAGAAGTCGTTTCACTTCTAGGCAAGATTAAAGGTTTTACGCATTGCAACCGTGGAGGTCCTGGCGTTCCTCCTTTTCTTGTTCAAGAAATATTATTTTTCTAAAGAAAAGAAGATTCAGGAACCTAGTTACCCATCACTCCCTGATCATGAACTGTACCCGGTTTCGCAAGTGTGGCGTGGAACTGCTGAGAGGATTCTTACTCGTCGTGGCCATAACAGTAGGTCACCCTAGGTACCACCCTCCTTCCTTCCCACAACTTTCAAGGTTTCCTGGAAGTTTACTGGTACCTATCTAAAGGACTGTGAAGTTAGGAATAGTGCCCATGTGGAACATAAAACGATGTTTCAGTAGGGGCCCTACTGATCCGAACACCAATGTGCAAACCGTCAGAAAGACAGCGTACCTCTCATCACCGCACGAAAGTCGGAATTTTCACGATGGAATGTCTAAAATGGGTTGATGTACTGAAAGAAATTATAAGTTCATTTCGTTTTTCAATGTGATGACCCAGTCTACAACTACAAATCATCGGTCGCATTTAGGGACAGTTGTACATTTTCTAGAAAGAAAGGCATGATTGAAAATAAGATGGGATCACTATGTTGAGGATAATTTGAATGGCATCTATTGGGTCCTTTTGAAATTAACCGTGGAGAAATTCTCTTTCCAACTCACACTTACTAGGTGGAAATAATATTGTTAATACAGTTTAACAAGAAACAGAGGTTTTACCGGCCTTGTAGCCAGCTATGTGCTAAATCAACGAGACGAAGGAAGAGACTGGGGAGAGTTGGCAATCGGAAAGATAGACTGTACTAATTGCTGTCCGCAGAACATGGCTGACCAATCTGGTGTGCTGTTTGTTAAGTTTTTTAAATTGCTTTAATCATTTTCTTCTTTTTCTGAACAATAGGTGGGAAAAAATCGAAGATATGGAGTGCGCTTTAAATCTTGTGTTATTATTTCTGCTTTCGCTATGCAGTATAGTAGGTGAGATAAGATAAATTATTGTGCGTTGTTTTCTCTTCGCAATGGAGATAAAGGTTATGCCTCAGTGATACATCCGTGAATTGTCTCTTTTGGTAGCCTTTCTCAACACCATTAATTTTTAGAGTCTTTCTCTACTACAATTACTTCTTAATGATAAACAAACCTAATATTTTACTTATGCTGGAGATAATGTTTTTAATGTGTCATGAAAATGATGGCTAACCTAGATTTTTAGACATATGAGAGAAGAGGTAAATTTTGATTCTCCTTGCCAACAGCGATACGTTTCTTGAATTTCAGTTTTTTTGAATCAAGTATTAATCCATCAATCGATCATTCTTTTCATCACATATCTGTTAGAATGTGCGGTTATGGTGTTAGGTTATGTATGTTGACCCACACATAGCTGCATTGATTTTCCATGTTAGTTTTAGACGCAAAACTCGAATTGATCTCATCTGACAAGACACCATGTAGGAAAAGTTCAGTGAATTACAATGTGACCCTCAGTAAGGGCGCCAAGGCTGGGAAGTACTACAAGATGGTTGGAATTAAAGAGATGGACGGATGCGTAAAACACTGTTGTGGATCGAAGAGATGCGACGTTGCTTTTATGGTCAACAAAAATTGTTATTTAGTCAAGTGTCACAATTCTGACTCATGTGACCTCAAGAAGTCTGATAATCCCAAATTTGACACGATGCTTTCAATGGTCTCACAAACAAAACTTAAAGAGGCTAAAGGTAAGAAGGTTTTCATCTATTCAAACACTTTCCAAAAAAAGATGAATTAACTTTACAAGTAACACGATAAAGTAGCGATAATGATGATGACGATATTATAATGATGATAGTAATGCCGATGATAGCATCACCGTTATAAGTATAGTATGCGTTATTGCGTTAAACAAGCCCATACCTGGCCAATTGACCGACCAGACTTGGTCCAAAATATCTAATCAAAACTGTTTAAAAATGTGTTACGCTATGGTTAGGGAGAAACAAACTGCAGGGCGCCAGCACCACGCATAGCACCGAGGTCTAGACCTGACCTTTTCAGTCTCTAATAGCTGTTCATCTACTAACAGCGGATTTTCTCTTTGATATTCTCTGGCTGACTATGACTCTTACTCTTTTTCTAAACAACTGATTGACTCTTAATCTCTGATTCTGAGCTCTGTGATACTTGCTTTCATATTCACCATCGGTAAGCATGGAAGATTAAACATTTAATGTCAGAAAAATAACCCAAACATTTTCACGGAAATCTTACTTATGAAAACTAACGAACTTAATGCTTAATCACACAACCACTCGTTGAATGTAAAGGCAAAGAGGACAACCTAAGTGCGGATCTAAGGCAAGGTGGGGAGACCAACTAATTGTAGTTGAACAAGACAGTCAAAATTAGAAATGTCATCATGATAATTAGACTCAAGTGACTTCGGACTGTGAATTTTAATCTTAACTAAATGCTAGATATAAAGAAATCACTAAAATCATGACTTAGTAACTGAATACTTCACAACAAATGACACCAAATTTGTTGTTAAACACAGGAGAGGGTAAGGGGGAACCTGCCCTTGAAGAAAACCTTCAAGAAAAAGCTTCTGGGATTGAAACCACGGAACCTTTCATTGTTGAAAACCCAGATGACGACATGACCACAGTGACAGCTTTTGGGGTAGGTTAGATGTCTACATAAATTGTTGTTATACGAGGGTCTCAACGGGGTGGGGTCATTGACAGCAGTGCTTAAAAGGCTTCTTATAAACAAGCGGTTTAGACTGTAATCGGTAAAATGTTTGGATATTTCATCGTTGGTCTTCGGAATAAAAATTTTTGAAACAAGGAATTATGTTGATCGCAAAATTTACCTGAATACACATGTAACCACCATAAATATTATCCTACTCCAGAGTCCAGCTTTAAATCACCAACAATATCAACAAATTACAAAGACCACAAATATAATTCAAAATTTCCTGCAAGCATCGAAGGCTCAGTGAACCGCAAATCACTAGAGGCCGAACCAGTTCCAAGCGATATAAGGCGCACCTTGCCTACATTGTTTGTTCATATTAAGGAGTACCTATGGGACTTGTAGGCTAATTTTAACTGGCTTTATTGCTTATGGTTAATGAAAATCTCGCATTTTCGACGCTTAGCGAAAGGCTCAAACAGAGAAAATCCAAGAGAACGTTTTTTAGAGCACACATTTCGTCCATAGCTTTTATGTATCTTCACAAAACCTGCATTGTAATGCATCATAAAAAAGCGAAATTTTCGTTCAGTCTTCGTTCAATACACATTGTGATTCTATTTACGTGAATACAAAAACTTAAGTTTCTGTATGTATTTTTAGACTGGCAAAACCAAACGAACAAAGCGTTCTTCTGATATAATCGACATGGTGGTAGCAATTGGTTGCGGGACGGTGGCTGTTGCAGTAGGTGTGGCTGGCGTAATTGTGATGACAAGACGTTTGATTGACAACAACAAAGCGGAAACTTCAAGCTGAGGGAGAAAAAATACTGACCTTTTTCTCGAGCTCAAAGGACTACAGTCATCAGAATCTTTACCTAGTTTACTGCAATTTCTGGCCGGTAGGAAACGCAATCCTGAGTAGATTTCATTTGCAAAGCTGGCCACAGGTGCTATAAGAAAGAAAATGGAAAATCCATGATTTCCCGGAAGACTGACCTGCTGTCAGGTGACATTTATTTAGACGATTTTACCGTAAACCAGCTTTCATCAATGTTTTTTGTGGGATCACATGGTCCCAGTCTGGTCAGAACGGCTTTTAAAGGGATTATTAGGGCCTAACAGGAGCTTTAGCACGGACCTTCTCCAAACACAAATGGTTACCGGAAGGCGCAAAAAGCAAACTATCTATCGCTTTGACCTGATGTATTCAATACGAAAGGTGTTGTTAAAAACGGTAAATCTATACTGCGCACCACGGGAAAGAGCATTTACGTTTGAGCCATATTCTTGGCTGGAAAATATCTGGTCATTTTGCTCTCAGGTAATGAAATTTGCGGGCCTTGATTGTGCTCCTGTAAAGAGACGTTAGTGTCAAAGTGGGAAAAGAATTGTTTTTCGCAACAAATATATTTTTGTAAAGCGTATTTAAATTATATTGATTTGTATAAACTCCTCAATAAGTTAGTTTCATTCTAGAAATAGCGCGCAACTCTCAACATTTATTTACTGCGCGTAATTTTTACTGGCCAAACAAACATTCAGCTGACTTTACATTTATGCCAAGAGTTACTTGGGGATACAAATCGAGATTCATAGAAGCTTTAACAATTAATGTGAAAGATAAATCGCATTTCTTTTTCTCTTTGTAATTCTAGGACACAACAACGTAGATACAGCGACTTTTTATGAATAGATTATTCCAGTAATGGTCAAATTTAAAATTTGAAAGGCTCCAAGAGCAGACAAGGTTTTCCAACAAGGATTTCCTGTTTTATACCGGACTGAAACCGGCTTTTGGCCATGGGACAAATCTCGTTATCCACCAACTCTCTGAGGAATCTGGATCCCCCTTCCCGTTAGTGAAACCTGTGGGGTTTTTTGGTATTTGTCTAACCCCAAAATTCTTGCAACAAGAAGACCACGTGCTACAACTCCATTTGAAGTATTTTAAATCTATGTATTTTGAAAGATATTTTCGGCTTCTCAAGGCTGTTGTGTGGCTTAACATATTCCTAATCGTTCCTTTATTAACGAAAAAATGTACAAGCAGATATCAAACGAAGCTTTTTTTATAGGTGGAGAATAAATAATGATGAAAAATGGTATGATCGATGCTTACTGATCCACAGGCGGCCTAAGCTCCAGCTGTGAAATGATCATCTTGCGAAATACAAGTCATGGCGTTTGTATGAATATTTACGACCGCTCTAAGGGATTAAAAAAAATGCAGTCAAATTCCCAATAAAAATACCTTACCTTACTTCCACATTGCGTCACTTGTTATCTGAACGCTTACTATGTTGAAAAGAAGCCATTTTAGCGAGTTATCTAATTCTAGGTTTACTACCCATATGGGAAGCCCAAGGCTGCACACTCTATTTGTGAACGCCCGATCCGAGAAGCGAAACATCCAAGCTCAAAATGACCAGGCGGCCACAAATCCAACGCAGAATCCAAGCACATATATCGCAGTTTCATTTCAATTCATTACCAACTCAATCCTCCCCGTGAAACTTACGCTAAGCCGAAGTTTGCTTCCAAAATTTCCAGTTTAGACGTTTCTAACAACCCCCGTTCACATTCGCCACGACACACGACCGTTGAATTCCAGCTGGTAACCCTGCCTCCTTTGCAAATTGAGCCTCCTCGGGGACCATACCGTCACGCGACATGAACAAATTGTTCAAGAATCACGGGTGCCAAGTAACGGGTGCCAAGTGACGAAAGATGATCGTCTCACAGCTGGAGCTTGGGCCGCCTGTGACTGATCCAGGTGAACGGTGAATGAAAGAAATGACGAGATGGGCATAATCGGAGAATTTGATTTTTGAGGGCTCTAAAAACAGTAAGTGAACTTCGATCTTATTCCATGCTTTATGTCGTGTATTAAACGACAATGGACGAAGTCTACGGAAAAATAGCAAACACTACCATAAAGAGGCATGATAATCTTCTTTCATTCTAATCGTTTCTTAATGTGTCGTTGAAAAAAATTGCGCCAATTTCTTTTCCCTTTGTTAGCCAAGCGAGTTTTTGCGCACAAAAAGTTAATACCGAATAGTTTCCTTACGGAAATTTAATCCAGAAATTGTACATTTTTCTCAACCAATGAAAACTACTTGTAAAGATAAACCACCTCTGAAGGTCTGAGCTGCGTGCATCACACTAGGCTATCTGTAATGGGGGATCATACACTATTCTTCAGTCTTTTCCAACCTTCATCTCCCGAATCTGCACCTTCGTTGGCTTTTTTATTTCACTTCTTTGTTTCGCTCTCGTTGCTGCAAAGTGCTTCGAGTCGTGGGATGTCAAGTGTGGCGGAAAACCTGCTGAATCAGATTCAAGGCGGCCGCAATCATAATCGGGTTTCAAGTATATTTGAAGCAATTTTCGGAGAGTTAGTTTCCCTTTGGAATCATAATCCAAAGTCAATAGCTTTTTTTCAGTAGTATACACTTTTATTGCTGTAGAAAAATAAACGATTCCTGGAGGAGCATCCCTCTTCTTTTTAACACTAATCAAAAAGAAAATTCTCATGAATGCAGGGGAATGGCTCCTTCATTTGAGGAGGTTCTCATAAAATTAAGAATCTCTTCTGGAAACATTGTCCAGAAACTTGGAGAAAACCGTAGTTTGAGATGAAGATCTAAAAGAAAATACTCTGGAAGCACAAAAGTACGTTAAATCAGACCTAACTAGATTTGTACTAATTAAGTACCCGACTTAGGTTGAAGATGCAACGTGACGAATCGGTATTGATTAAAGCTGACCTTGGATTGATATTAATCAGGTTTTCAATAACCTAAACCTGATTTTTTTATTCCTTTCCAAGACGGTCAAAAAGTGGAGCAAGCGCGCAAGAAAAATTTCTCAGAGTTCAGTGAAGTCAGCGGTTTGCCAAGAAACAAGCTTCATGTATTCTGCCATTGTTTGACACCTTTGTTACCTAGACCAAGTCTTGGTTAGAGAACCTGCTGACTTAATGAGAGTCACATCAGAAGCCTGAAAATAATCGTGTAGAAAACAGGCAGCCATTCATAGCACTATCCCACTTAAACATGATTGTTTTTGTGTGTGTCTAACTATTGAGAAAAAAATCGAGTGCCAGTTTTCTGGGTTTCAACATGGGAGTTATTCATATCGTAATGCCTGCGTTAATTACTTTTATAAGTAGCTGATCAGATTTTCCCTGATCAATCTTAACTGGAGATTACCCAGGAGAAGATTTCGAACTTTTAAGTCTCTAGCATAAACTCTGAAACATATTTTGAAGTTGGCCGAAGCCAAAAAAGTTTTCTGAAAAGTCATTTAATATCTATGGAGAATTTAAATTTTTTTTCGACTACTCATGGCAAATTACCCCCTGAGATAACACCCCACCGCTTTGGACCACATGTTAGGTGTAACAGTGCGTGAAATATTCCGTCCTTATGGAGGACACGGTGATGAACAAGACTTTGCTGGGAAAAGTAGATCACCTGTTATGCTATGACTGCCTGCTTTTCAGTGATTCAAACGAATACCGCCCACGTGATAACACAAACAGACAAATTTTACAAGGAAGGGAGAATGTGTCCACAAATCAAACAGATTCCCTCATGGGAGTCAGTCTAGCACAGGAGACAGGTCATTTTGAGTGCAGTTGAAATTAAACCAATTGTAACTTATTACAAAGCTTTTCCGTTGTTCATTTGTTTATGTTTTGTGTTTACTGAGCGTAAGATTTATATGGATAACACTAAGCCAACCTGTTTGAATATGATATGTTTTCTGCTGCCGGTACAAACTGACCGAGAGTTTGGTCCTCGAAGCTAGAATCGTCATCGCTTCGACCTGTGGGATGAAAATCAAGTTGCTTCTGATGAATCCGATTTTCCCGCCCTTTTCGCGGTGGTAAACATTTTCGAAAGTGAGGCTTTTCTGTAATTAGCGAGTAAAATCAGAGGATTATGATAAAAAATTCATGAGAGTGAAATAGCTTCCTTTCTCGATTTCAAGTTGACGTAATTATGATTCTTGGAACGTTCAGGTTTTAACTTCATTTTGTATCAGACAGACGATGGAGGAAACAGATTTTCTGCCATAGACTTTAGGTGAGTTATCATATGTCTCAACCAGCGTTTATTGATCAAAATGATGTTTAAAAATAGTCATCGATCTTTTCACGACTGGTTCTTCTTGTCTTGTGGTCTTGATTGTTGTCAGCCCTAAACCAGAACGATTGTCCTCTTAGTATCAGCCTCGGATGAAACACTCAAAGTAAGAAATAGCAAATAATAGAAAATAACGTATGTGATATTTGTAACTCCCTAAGTGTATATTCCTTCCTCTTCAACAAAATGATTCCTAGCATTAGGTTTGTGTTTACTTTGAGCTACGTAAATGGTTGCAAAATAAATTATACCCGAAAATATATTTAGACAACCAAAAGGATCGGTAGAGAGCAAGCTTAATTTAGATTCGCTTTCACTTTGCTCTGTTCATAGAGATGTAGGTATTTATCATCACGTCATTAGTCTGGTTCACGAAGACGAAACGAAATAACCAACAACAATTTCATAATATCATTTTGACGTTCGGTCGTTCTTTCAAGACATCGGAAGTCAATAAGTACTAGTCCACGTAAATAACTTGCAACTAGATTTTATAAGGTATACAATTGTTGTTATATCATTGCACAGGTTATGGCCTTGACTTTTTCTAGGTTATCAACCGGGTCAAGTATTCATTTGTGCAAAATAAGTGTTTGTTTGTTTCTTTGCTTAGGTGCATGTGTAGAGCAATAGGGAGTAACCTTCGATTTAAAAGGTCTCGAATTACTCTCGAGAGATGGAAAATTCTTATATAGAGCTTTGTATCACATAGCGTGACTATATCCTTAACTGCGCTTCAATTTGTTTATATTTGCAATTTGATGAATTGACTTGATGTCACGGTATTTGACACGCAAAGAGTTGTCGTATGTTTAAATCGCAAATAGACTACAAATCCTGAAGAGTAGAGATACAAAGTTCAATAAGCCATGACAAGCTTAAAAACTTTGAAAGAGTATTACTGTTCTTCAGCTTTATGGTATTTTCATAGATGAAGTGGTTAAATTATTTATATGAATACGACAAGAAAAACAGTTTTTGTAACAAATAGCTCCTGTCGTGCCGGCAAGCACGCAGTCGCACACTGTCATATATCACCTCCTTACAACGTACCCATCTATTCAACTTGTAGCACTTGAATGTGACAGTCCATCTAGCTTGAAGAATATATCAACAAGACGACAATTAACTCTCTTGAAAGCTTTTAAGAGACACAAACTTAGCTCGTTCAAGGTCCTAAATTCAAAATACAATCTCTTGAAACGCTGCCGGGGGTCGATTAACCTCAGAAACAGGCTCTTCATAACCTTACCGCTACTGGTGCTAAAGTCCTCAGGATTTTCAGTGTGTCTTACCGGACTAATCTATTCTTCTCTCTTTTCTTTTGTGCTTTGTAGGGTTTCAAGAAATTTAAAAACGAAGGATCAAGGGCAATACCTGCCAGATTCGAGGATTCGAAATGCTTCATTATATTTTGTGCCCGCTCTATCTGATGTTACTCAAGTCTTTAACTAGAGGTCAAGGTATGTGCCTTTGTAACCACTTAGTTAACACGCTCTAGGTAGTCTGACACCGTCGATACTGTCCAAACGAATTTCTGCAAACAACGCTCATTTCGGGGCTTTGAGGTGAAAAAAAATTTATTTTTTCTGATAGAAAACTTTGAAGGATATTATTTTGTTGGTCAGTTATTTACATTGTTTTCAAATCCCCGCATGAATTTTGTACGAAAATTCCTGCTGCTTTGCGAAATATCAGGCGGGCTCTCAGGTTCCCATTCGTGGCATAAATCCAACAGAAAAGACCTTTTTCTTAACATGCTACAGATCTGACTTTTATTCTGGCTTTGATGTCTAGAGTGACAAATTTTGTTGACAAATGTTTTTAGAGGTATCAAACTATTTTCCCCTTTCTTGCTGATTTATATTTAAAACTTAACTCCCAAGGAAAGAACGTAATCTATGTCATTCAAGCAATTGTTTTTCATTAAGGATAAGCTTTTGAGGGCAGGAGGTATTCAGTTTAACGATTTTATTTGCAACGCCGCAGTTTTCCAAATGTTCCTCATGGACCAAAAAGGTGAAAACGCGCAAGTCCTGGACACCGTCAAGTTGCCTACGTGTACTCATTTGGACATAAAACATGACGTCACTTTACGAGGTGGAAT